TTCTTTGTTTGGGAAAATGAGGGAAGAGAAAATTGAGTTGGATGTTGTTACATGGAGTTCTGTTATTTCTGGGTATGCTCAGAAAGGGTTTGGCTGTGAAGCAATGGATGTGTTTAGGGAAATGTGTGGATGTGGTTGTCGTCCTAATGTGGTTACTCTAGTTTCGTTGCTTTCTGGTTGTGCGTCTGTTGGAGCATTGCTTCATGGAAAAGAAACTCACTGTTATGCCGTTAAATTTATTCTCAAGGGTGGTGATTATGATGATGATGATTTGATGGTGATTAATGCTTTAATTGATATGTATGCTAAGTGCCGGAGTTTAGAAGTGGCTCGTGCAATGTTTGATGAAATATGTCCTGAAGATAGGGATGTTGTGACTTGGACTGTGATGATTGGAGGATATGCTCAGCATGGTGATGCCAATCATGCCCTGCAGCTTTTCTCTGAAATGTTTAAAATTAATAACTGTATAGTTCCTAATGATTTTACTATATCTTGTGTGCTCATGGCTTGTGCTCGTTTGGCGGCTTTGAGGTTTGGTAGGCAAATTCATGCTTATGTGTTGAGAAGAAGTCGTATTGATTCAGATGTTCTGTTTGTGGCTAATTGTCTCATAGACATGTATTCTAAATCTGGAGATGTAGATACTGCTCGAGTTGTTTTTGACAACATGCCAAAGAGAAACGCCGTCTCTTGGACCTCATTACTCACGGGATACGGCTTGCATGGACGCAGCGAAGATGCTCTCCGTGTTTTTGATGAGATGAGGGAAGTCGCTCTAGTGCCTGATGGCATAACCTTTCTCGTATTGCTTTATACTTGTAGTCATTCAGGAATGACGAATTGTGGAATTGATTTGTTTTATAGAATGAGCAAGGATTTTGGGGTTGATCCTGGAGCAGAGCATTATGCTTGTATGGTTGATCTTTTGGGTCGGGCTGGTCGTCTAGCTGAAGCTATGAGACTCATTAATGATATGCCGATGGAACCAACACCAGTAGTGTGGGTGTCATTGCTTAGTGCTTGTAGGATACACTCAAATGTAGAACTTGGAGAATTCGCGGCAAAAAGGTTGTTAGAATTGGAGGCCGATAATGATGGGTCATATACATTGCTTTCAAACATATATGCTAATGCTGGACGCTGGAAAGATGTGGCTAGGGTTAGATATTTGATGAAACGTACTGGAATCAAGAAAAGACCTGGTTGCAGCTGGGTCCAAGGAAGGAAAGGAATGGAAACCTTCTATGTTGGAGACAGAACTCACTCACAATCTCAGGAGATATATGAAACACTTGCAGATTTGATTCAGCGCATTAAGGCCATTGGGTATGTTCCACAGACAAGCTTTGCTCTTCATGATGTGGATGATGAAGAAAAAGATGACCTACTTTTTGAACACAGTGAGAAGTTGGCTCTTGCCTATGCCATCCTAACACTTCCCAGAGGAGCACCTATTCGAATCACTAAGAATTTACGCATTTGTGGCGATTGCCATAGTGCCATAACCTACATATCCATGATCGTAGAACATGAGATCATACTAAGAGACTCTAGTCGCTTCCATCATTTCAAAAATGGATCCTGCTCGTGCAAAGGGTACTGGTAAAAACGGAATCAGAGCATTTCATTCAGGATAGCTTTTTGCTATGGGAGATGTAATTATCTTCTTTGACTACACATCACATATTTACAGTTACGTTGTGATTGGATAGAGAAGATTTGGACATCTACATTCTTGTTTCATGGGAATGTGTTTATAACAAATGATTTATTTCATTGAATATAACTAACTTATTTTAGTACAATCTGATGGTGACGTCACCGATATAATATTCACACTTACAGTAAAGCCAACGGCACTTGTCTACTGCAATTCTGGAATTGGAATACTGCAATTCTTCTGCTTAGTGCTGTTCAAGGACTAACTTGTCTATTTGAGGGACCGGAGATTCAGGTAACTCATAAGCTAATATGTTCAAAGAGATAAGATTTGCTGCCAGATCGTTGAGTTGATATCTACTGTATTTCTTACTACAATTGGGGTATGAAGTAAATCTAGACGATGTGGCCTATTGTTAACAGTGGAATATTAGAAAAAATTATGAACCAAAAGAGAAAATAGGTAATTGTGTATCTTCACTAAATCAAATTTTTCTAGTTTTTTTTTTTCATTTATTCGTTTTAAAATATTTTCCCTTTTGTTAGAAGTCACGACCATTACTTCTAAAATAATAGGTGGCTTGTGAGAAAGGAGGTGGTTTTCTATTTAGGTAGCACTGCTAAAACTACTGCATATTTTACTTGTCAGAATATGTGATTTGTTTTGAGCATATGAAAACTTGAACTAAGTTCAGTACCAAACCTTGAATTTCTTGTATTTAGTTAATAGATTAATACAGCTAACAAAACTACTTCATATTTTACATGTCAGAATATGTTATTTGTGTCGAGCATATGAAAGCTTGAACTAAGTTCCTTGCATTATAGCACCTAGATATTTAAGTACATAGCCAGTAGCAACATTAGTAGCTCTGTAGTAAATGAAATTCACCTGAAATTTGATAAGGTAGCAGAATTATATTGAAAGACCTCTGAATTTTCGTAGTGCACATGTGAATGCTGGTTTTTGACTTCTGTGCAGCTCCTTGCATGGCTTCTAACGTGTGTTGTTGATATCTTCAGAAGCTTTTGACACGGAGAGATTGGTAAATGTCATGGACAAATTGAAGCATAGCCAAGCAGTAGATGTTCCAAAGTATGATTTTAAGGGTTACAAGAACAATGTGTTTCCTGCAAGAAGGGTATTTATGATACTTTCATATTTTGAATTAGAATTATTTAGTGTATTAATGATTTCCAAATCATGCCGCGCATGCTTCCAATTTATTTTGTTTTATCGTGTTTTGCAGGTAAACCCTGCAGATGTTATAATTTTGGAAGGCACCCTTGTTTTCCATGATCCACGTGTCAGGGCCTTGATGAATATGAAGATATTTGTTGACACAGGTCCATTATCATTTTTGTTCCAATCTAACTAGCATATCTATTTCTGTTGTAGTTTTTTGTGGCATTTCTTAATTAATATAAGATATGATTTGTTGCCATATTTGTTTTCCTTAAAATCACATTGCTATTTATTTCCTTCCACGGTTTACATTATGACATACTAAAATTCATACTATTCACATTATCTAAGCAACTGCATGCCCTTATGCAGGGGCTAGTGATGCTATATCTTCCCCCCCTCTCCCTTCCCTACATCCTATTTTATCACTAGTTACCTATCTCTACTTTATAGCCATTTTACAAGTGCACTTCATGGGTTTTAGTCATAGTTAAGCTGTCACTTTACGTCGTTAAATGTTCAGTGCAGATGCTGATGTTCGTCTGTCAAGAAGGATTAAGCGTGATACTGCCGATAATGCACGTAATATTGAAGCAGTGCTTGACCAGGTAGCAACTTCCAGCCCCCCGTCACATTTCTTATGTTATTATTTTCAAGTACCTTGATTAGGAAGCCTGTCATTGTTTAGTTTGTATGGAGTTGGGATTGATGATGATGGTGATCAAACCTATATATACTCTTTTCTCATCATGCATATTGTAGTTGCTGATTTTTAACATGTTTGATACAGTATTCAAAATTTGTGAAGCCGGCTTTTGATGACTTTATCCTTCCTACAAAGAAGTATGCTGATATCATTATACCCCGTGGAGGAGATAATCATGTAGCCATTGATTTGATTGTGCAGCATATTCGTACAAAGCTTGGTCAGCATGACCTCTGTAAAATATATCCTAATTTATATGTCATTCAGTCTACTTTTCAGGTGCCTCTTTCTTACTGTTTATTGACATTTTCAGTAATCCTATTCTATCTTTTCCCGTCCAGCGAGAGATATTAAATTTTCCACCAAAATTGAATCATCACGGTAATTCTTGCTTTGCAGATAAGGGGCATGCACACCCTGATACGCGATTCTCAGACAAAAAAGCATGACTTTGTATTTTATTCTGACCGTTTGATTCGTTTGGTATGTACATAGGGTGCAATGGTTCTTTTGTTACTTTTAATTTTTGAGGTGGCATGGGAATGGAATTTTCTTTATCACAACAGTTCCCTCACTTTGCCAGGTCGTAGAACATGGCCTAGGACATCTTCCATTTACAGAAAAGCAAGTAATCACTCCTACTGGTAAGTCCCCCTCACGCCCAACGCTGATTTCCTCTGCTTTTTGTAGTAGTTCATAAGCGTTCAAGTGCACCATTCTCCGGTTTCTTTGTCTTGAGTGAAATGTGAACTACATGTCCATGGTCTTGTTTTAGAATTGACTTCTCTGTATATTGGACATCTTGGAAGGGCTGTAAACTACTTCTGCAGTCTGACTTTCATGTCAGAGATACTTTTTGATAGAATAGGAATTGATGGTTTATCGTGTTGTTGTGCTCAATAGATTGTTGGTAGGAGGTTAATTGCAACAACTGCAACACAAAATATTCTGTCTGTCTCTGTATAGCTGATATTTACAGGCTAGAATTAGTTTGTTTCATATCCCGACCTTTTATGGTAATAGTTGATTTTTGTCCTTCAATGCAGGGTCTGTATACAGTGGTGTGGATTTTTGTAAGAGGTTGTGTGGTGTCTCCATTATCAGGAGGTATTCTGTCTATTCAACAAACACTATTCCAAAACAGAAGTTATCTGAATGATAAAATATTGGCATCATTGGTTGAAAATATTGTCTAGAAACTTTCTTAATCCTCCTTGAACAATTCCACAAACAAACGGATGATCTTTTTTCAATCTGGGTTTGGAGTTAATATTTTTCATGAAATTAAATTTATCCCCCACTACGCTTTAAAAGACTAGTTCATTTTTCCATTCTACTTAATTTGATGCGAAGCTAAGATCACTACAAATTTCTTCTAAAATTTATTTGAGGAAAACAAACTCTGTTCATAAATTTAATATTATGATCTAATATCAGTGGGGAAAGATGGAGAATGCTTTGCGAGCATGCTGTAAAGGTATCAAGATTGGTAAAATTCTTATTCATAGAGAAGGTGACAACGGTCAGCAGGTTTGTTTTCTTCCTATATGCTGGAGAATTGAGTATACATTTCCCGTTGTTTCATTTCACACTGTCTAACTCATTCCTTGATTATTGAGCAGCTAGTATATGAAAAGCTGCCAAATGATATCTCGGATAGGCATGTGTTACTGTTGGATCCTATTTTAGGCACAGGTGTGTCATTCTTGTAATGTTTAATTTAAAGCTGATCTAAGGCGTAAAAATGCACATGAACCATAAGTAATCTACTCCAATTTTTAGTTATGCAGAAGTCGGCATAATAATGGTGATTTTAAATTGACATTTAATTTGTTGGTTTTATTTTGATTAACTTTAGAATATCATCATCTTTAGGTAATTCTGCTGTTCAGGCGATTTCGTTAATTTTAAGAAAGGGTGTGCCAGAGTCCAACATTATATTTCTCAACCTCATATCAGTAAGTTATTGATATCTTTTAGTTCATCTGCATATCTTGCCTTTTTCATTATTTTCTCTCTTTCTCTTTCTTTTCTTGTACTCAAAGATTTACATGTTCTCTTTCATCTTGCCAGGCACCTCAAGGTCTGCATATGGTCTGCAAAAGATTCCCAAGAATAAAAATTGTGACATCCGAGATTGACATTGGTTTAAATGAAGATTTCCGAGTCATTCCTGGGATGGGCGAATTTGGGGATCGATATTTTGGAACAGATGATGACGACGAACTGGTGGAGAGCCGTTCGCGGTAGTTGTTCTTTGGCAAAACCCACAATATATTTTTGGAGACTTCAGTGGAAAGAAAAAGATTGGACTTTCCTGAGTTGAGGCTGCTGGGATCTGAGTGCTAATTTTAATTCAATTTTGATCATAATCCTTGATTTGCTTTATTCAATGACTTATAGTTGGAACTCTCCAATGCAAATTTTTGTGTTATCTTTCATTTTTATACCCGGATTTTTTTTCCAACCTATTCTTTGCCGATACTGATATGACGATACTGATATGATACATGATCATGAATTCCGAGATTTATACATATAGAAAGAATATATAAATTTACCTAATGGAGTTTCTTGGTGTCAAAATTTGATTTGCTCCCAAACAAATTCAACCATGAATATTAGGCAACACCTTGAGGTACCCAACAGTTGATGAAATTAGCAAGACAATGCCAATTTCATTGAACCAAAGGGGATACAAATAATTGTGAGTATACTCATAGGTAATAAAAGATTTTTTTCGTCATTCTTTTTTTATTGTCATTTATTTTCTTTTTAGTCGGGTGTGTGTATTAGGGGTTGAATTATATCAAGAGTATCTAATGTCTTTAGTTGTTTGGGTCATATTTTTCTTAGCACAAATTGCCTCATATAATTTAAACAGTCTATAAGCATTCATAATCAATTTTACTTTATTAGTGACTGTAAATAAGTGATTTATATTTTATTTTAACTCACCAATTTATGTATTTCTTTTGTTGATAAAGCACAGATTAACTAAACAAAGTGGGGAAAGCTAACACCAGTACAATAATTTTGAAAGAGTATTTCCAAAGAGAAATTGAATTTGATAAAAAAAAAAATCTTATATATATAATTTATTTAAATATGTCAAATCTATAAATAATTTACTATCAACGAATAAAAACTTACTCTCATGATAGTTAGTCTAGAACTAAACTTCGATTTACTCTCATGAGAGTTACTCTAAAACTTAACATTCAGTTTTAATGGAATAAAATCCAAAACATCCCAAGCCACCACAAGCCAAAGCAGACCCCACAACACAACGACAAACACTATACCACACCTGCAAACGTACAACACAACGACAACCACTACACCACACCTGCAAACGCACAACACGCGAAAAGGAACTACACCAAAATCTGCAAGCGTACAAGCCATCAATTACACAATAAAAAAACTTCAGCACAAAGCCACAAAAATGCAATACACAATACGTAAAATCTTCACAAATCTACTCTTTAGCCTTCACAACAAAAAACAAATTCTCTTCATCATTCTGCAGTGAACAAAAAACCATAAACTCACCCAATCATCAATCACCTTCAAATCTTCTTCATCACTCTTCCAATCGCAACACCTCAAAAATAAATCTCCAAATCCCTTTCCTCCAAATCTTCAACCTTCAATAAACCTTCCACAAATCCTTTTCAACCCACAGATCAATCACAACTTTTAATCCAACCAAACACAAATCAGAAGAAAGATGAAAGACTGACCATACGCGAGTGAGGAAAAGAAGTAGAAATCTCGTCGCAGGGAGAAGAAAACGAAAAAACGTAAAAATGATTTGATGTTAGTCCTCTTTTATTTTGACCATGGCTTTTAATTCATTTTGTTTCAGGGAGTAAATGATCTGATGTGTTGCTTGCCCTTTGTTTATTTTTTTCCATGACCGCGTAGTTATGTTGGGCTTTGTAAAGCCCATTTGATCTTTCTATTCACACACTCCTTCATCCTTCCTTTCTTTTTTTAGGATCTCTTTTACATGTTCCTTATGGGCTAAGCCCAGGTGATTGTCATACGTACCGCCGGCCTGAGATTCTAACCCCCTTCTAGTTGTTCTTTCTTTTTATTTTTGTTTTGAAAGTTTCTAATTTATTATTTTTGTTTATAAGTATCAAGTTTAATATCTTTAGATTTCATTTTTATTTTATGATTTCATTTTCTTGATTTATTTCATTTCCATTTTGATATTTCGATTTTTTCTTTCATTTTGGTCAATGAAGTCTTAAATATCATGAATTATTGGTTATTGAATTTGTTTAACCTTCATTATTTCAAATCTGTGGGGAATGATCATTTAGATCACTCTTCATACTTTAGGATATTGATAGGTTACCTTTGATTAATCGATGAAAGTTCTTGATTAAGACGAGACAATTCTCTTTTTCTTTTCGTGTGACACGACTTTAGGAGAATGATTTACGTATCACTTCTCTATTGTGTTTTAACATAAATGTTGTTATTGATCAACCTCCCATAGTATGATCTTCCTCATAGATTATGCTATGATATCTTAACATAATGCTAAATTGGTCCCGATTCGAGAAAGTGATCATCCAATCAATAACAATTAACAACTAACATCTAACTTTTGTTTTCCGCCATTTATTTTCTTGTTCATTTATCTCATTGCTCATTATATCATATTCATCTTTGTTCATCTCATAAAGAAAAATACAAAAACATGATAAGATCAAAAACCCTAAAAAAATGTTTAAGCTTGGACTATATTTCTATCCTTTGCATCTTGGAGTTTGAACCTTGTAATTAAACCCTAGCAAAGGAGATTGAATCTTGGATTTCTCTATTATCTTTCTTCTAGCTTAGGACACTATTGCACATCATTCATAGCTTACTCCTGATCTTTCTTACAATGAAACTTATTCGATCAATTACTTCTAGTTGGTCGTTTAAAAGACTAATTCACTTTGTTAATGCACACGTAATTTAAATTCAATTCAATTGCTTTATCGTTTTCCTTTATTTTACATGCTTGTTTATATTTCTATCATTGCATGATGAATGATCTCCAAACCCTAAAGCATATTCGATCCATATATAAAGCCTTACCCCGTCTTGTAAGTCGACTGCCTTGTGCATTGTCGTCGACCTTACCATATACACATTAGGATATCATTTCCATTTAGTTCAAACCTTTACACCGCTTCGCATGCAAACTTAAACCTCGATTAACATCGAGTATTTTATTCAAATAAAATCAATATAATTAATCATGATTAGACTTTATTTTATTAAAAGATGAAAAGGGAGTTGGATTAGAGTCTTGGATTCCCCTCCTCGATTGTTTGGGTACGAGGACCCTTCCTAACTACTTGAACAATTGTCTTCTCTAAAAAGATTTATAATATGTTTTACATAAAACTATTTCCTTAACAAATCGAATCCAATCTATTTTCTCAAATCAATTAAGGTAGAAAAAGAGAGAGTTTCGAGCCTTCGATTCACTCTCCCGATTGTTTGGATACGATGAGCCTTCTTTACTATTCGAATAATCGTCATCTGCTCAAAACACTTTAACTATATCAAACTCTTTCACAATTAAGGTTGGAGAGAGAGAGAGAGAGAGAGAGAGAGAGAGAGAGAGAGAGAGAGAGAGAGAGAGAGAGAGAGAGAGAGAGAGAGAGAGAGAGAGAGAGAGTCAAGCCTTTGGTTTGCTCTTTCGATTGTTTGGATACAAGGAGCCTTCCTTGACGTCTGAGTGATTGTCATCCAAATAAAACATCAACACATTAACTCAACTTCTCGCCGCCATGCGATTAAAACTTTTTCTCAAAAGAACAATGTGTAGTTTCTTCTAATGCACCTGTAAACTAAATTCTTAAGTCTCCGTGAGAGCATAAAAGCTAATGTTTTGTCCTTAAAATGCGATATAAACATTTGTTCAATAAAACGAACCAACAACCCGTAGTCCTACGAACTACGAACGCTCTGATTCTTCCTTGGTAAGATCCCTAATAAAAAACCACTTGTTTTCCTTGGGAACCAAAACCCTTTTCATTTACCTTTTCGCATTATTCATCTTAGAAGAAAACAAACAACCTTGGCTAACATTCCTCACGAATCGAACTAAAAGGTTCCCGTTGAGTTCAATGGGCGTGAGGGGTGCTAATACATTTTCCTTACGTAATCGACTCCCAAACCTAAAATTTTGTTGTGATGACCATGTTCTTATCTTTTAAAGGTTTTATATATATTTTCCTATTCCTTCTTGAAATGAATAAAGTTCGGTGGCGACTCTATTCGAACGTTTTTTCCGTAACCATTCGCGAAGGATCGTATTTTTCGAGATACGTCAGTTGGATTCAAAATGAATGTGAAAATATGATGTTGTTTTAGTGGTAATCGGTTACCATAATGTTGTAACCACTTACAACTTAACATTAAAAAAAAAACAAAATTTTGTACCCGTAGTCGGTTATAGGTTTTGTGTAACTAGTTACTACTGTTTGAGTGTGAAAAAACAACTTGTAACAACATGACTCGGTTTCAAATGATTTTTAAAGATGCAAAGAATATTGGAGATGAAAATGTATGAGTTGTTCTAAGCTCATAAAGTGATATAAAAAATGTAACTGTAATTGATACCTTTAGCTCAAAATCAAATTACCTTTATCTAATGTCTTCAAGGTAATTGAGTATCAAGCTTCAACATAATCATTTTCTTGAAACTTTGAGATTTTGCCTTCTTTGATAATGCATTTGAGCCAGATCCTTTGTCTTCATCAAAACATAAGATAATGGTGAAAGCTTGTCTTCATAATCCCCCCCTTTGAATAAATACTCCCCTTTACTTTGATACCCCCTCAATCGATCAATGATGTATTTATGAAACTTGTGTTCCTGCAAAAGTTACTAAAACATAGTGTCATGCCTCGAAAAAAAGAATACGACATTCACAAAGCGCAATCGCACGCTCAGAGGATGGACTAACAAAGTCTCCACCGAATTTATTTATTCCCAAAAAGGGAAAGGGAAAATATTGATAAAATCTCTAAACGAACGACAATGATTATGGTTGTCGCAGCCAAATCAGGGTTCGGGAGTCGATTACGCAAGGGGAATGTATTAGCATCCCTCACATTAGTTGTACTTAAATGGAAGCGTCTGGTTAGTTGCGCGCGTTAATGTTAGCTTGGAAATATTAGGCTCCTCGAGTTATTAAAAGGAAAGAAGAAAAAAGACAAAAATATTTATTT